TTTTAAGAAGAAGACTGGAGAGGCGTTTGTCCAGAATGGGATAGGGCCCCTGGCTTGAGCAGAGGGTTGGACTAGAAGACCTCCCAGGGTCCCTTCCAACTGTTATTCCGAAAAGGAGGAGAAAGGGTTCCTTCCATTATTCCTCCGTTACTCTAACGAAGAAAAGGACTGGGGTGACCCAGTATTTGAGGGGCTGCCCTAAAGAAGGGGGGGTGTGGGGGTGTCCAACTATCCTGCAGAGCCCCTCGGGGGGGGGGGCAAGAAGCAACGGACGGAAACTCATCCGGGGGAGAAGCAACCTGGAATTCAGGAGGAATTTCCTGACAGCCAGAGCAATCAGCCGGTGGAACCACTTGCCACCAGAAATTGTGAGTGCTCCAACACTGGCCGGCACATATGCACACCACAGATCCGCTTGTGTGAACAGGGGGTTGGTGTGCACGCGCATTCGCACCGGCCCAACGCTCACATGGTCTCCCTTTCTACTCCCCCCCCCCAGGCAAAGTAGGGCAGAATCAGTGAACTAACTGGAGGTTGTAACTACGCGTCCCCCCTTCTCTCCCGCCGTAGAGAAAAAGGAACCTAGGCCTATAATACAGCTAGTCCTCCACTTACGACCCCCACTGAGGCCCAATCGAGACAGTCGTTGAAGTGAGTTTTGCCCCCTTAAAGGGCCAACATTTGTGAAGTGAATCGCTGCAGCTGTTAAAGGAGTAACACGGTCATTAAGTGAATCCGGCTTCCTCCTTTACGCTTGCTTGTTGGAAGGTCAGGAAAGGGTGCGATCCCCTAGGACGCTGTGGCCGCCATAAATATAAGTTCCGCTGCCAGAGGTCTGACTTCTGACCGTGTCTGCCAAAGGAGAACGCTGCCAACGTCGTAAGGGTGAAAAACAATCATAAATCCTTTTTTTTTTCTTTTTCAGAGTGCCTTTGTCAAGGTTTTAAAGAAGGGATTAGACAGCCATTTGTCTGGAATGGGATACATACGGTCTTCCTGCTTGAGCAGGGGGGGGTTGGACTAGAAGACCTCCAAGGCCCCTTCCGACTCTGTTATTCTCGCCCGATCGCATTGGGGCAAGAGGCTCCTCAGAGACCCTGGGCCCACCCAAGCCTTAGCAGCCTCGGTTTCGCCCCACGATTTCAGGCAGCTCTTTATCCAAACTGCAAAGCACTCCCAAGTTTCAAGACCTGTTTTCTTCTCTCCCTGCCCCCCAATTTTAGGGTTCCTAGGTGGGACAACAAAGCCCCGTGTGTGTGTGTGTGTGTGTGTGAGAGAGAGAGAGAGAGAGAGAGAGAGAGAGAGAGAGAGAGGCAGAAAGAGAGAGAGACACAGAGAGAGAGACGGACAGAGACACAGAGAGACAGAGACAGAAAGACAGAGAGAGAGAGAGAGAGAGAGAGAGAGAGAGAGAGATGGACAGACAGAAAGTGAGAGACAGACAGAGAGACAGAGAGAACGACAGAGAGATACAAAGACAGAGAGAGAGAAAGAGAGAGAAAGAGACAGAGAAACAGAGAGAGAGAGAGACAGAAATAGAGATGGACAGAGACACAGAGAGACAGAGGCAGAGACAGAAAGACAGAGAGAGAGAGTGAAAGAGGGAGAGAAAGGCAGGGAGAGAGACAGAAAGAAAAAGAGAGACAGAAAGACGTACAGAGAGAGAGAGAGGAAGTGAGAGACAGACAGACAGATAGAAAGAGAGATACAAAGACAGAGACATAAAGACAGAGAGAGAGAGAGAGAGAGAGAAACAGAAAGAGAGAAAGAGGGACAGAGAGAGACTCATAAAGAGAGAGAATAAGAGAGAGAGAGGGAGAGAGGGACAGAGAGAGACTCATAAAGAAAGACAGAGAGAGAGAGAGAGGGAGGGAGGGAGGGATGGAGGGAGAGGGAGAAGGAGAAGGAGAGGGGGCCACTTGGCTTCCCACCGCTCAGGGCAAGGTACCTGCGGGACAAACTCTCCTCCAGAGCCTTGTACTTTAGGAGCACAGCTTCCCCTCCCCCTCCGAGCCCCCTCCCAGAGCCAAGGGGAAGACATCAAAGGGCTCCCGGGGGGGGGGGGGGGGGGGGGGGCTTCCCCGGGAGGAATTCCCTCTCAGTCAAGGGAGCTTTTGGCCAGTTCCAGCCACGGTGGCAGCCGCAGGGAGGGAAGGCAGGCGAGGCAGGCTGAGGTGCCTCCCGCTCAGGCCAAGTGCCCAACCATTTAGAGCTAATTAGAGTCAGGCTGAGGGTTCCCAACACACACACACACACACCCCGCTGCTTCAGCCCCACTTCAGGAGGCCTGTCCCCCCCCCCCCCCGGACACCTGGAATAAAACACCGCCTCCATTAAAAACTGCCGGGGCCCAGGTGGCCTTGCGACGGCTGGTGCCAGATTCCTGTCGTTGGTCACAGAGCGTCGGTTTGGCAGCCGAGAGCGGCTCTGCCCGCCAAGCTGAAGCCAGGAGATACCACAGGGGCGCTGCCAAGGCCACTGGCTGCTTCCTTGCTAGCTGACATAAGCTCAGCCTCGCCTGGCTAGAACTGCAGGCTGGCAGCCAGAGGAAAGCCTCGGGACGCCGACTGCCGCCAGAGGTTGCAGGATTTGCCCAGAACAAGGCCCAGCCGGCTTAGGAGCGCCGAGAAAGCGAGCGGGGGAAAACCCTCCCTGTTCTCCAGGTGGGCGTCTTGCCTTCCTTCTCCCGGTGTCTTGCCGCTCCAGAGGGGGCAGAGACGGGGATGAGAAGCTCCCTTGGCACAAGCCGAAAATTTCAATTCCGACAAACGTGCCGACTCCGGCAGACGTCTCTCCAGAGAAGAGGACGATCGGCAGAAAGCGTGGGTTCAGGTGCCTCTGCAAATCTACCGATTCGTGTTCAAAGACTCATCCCTCCTCGAAAAGACTTGTAAAATTAAAATTCGACAGAAGGAAACAACCATGATAGACAGACAGACAGACAGACAGACAGATAGATATAGATGACAGATAGATGATGATAGATGAGGAATAGGTGGATAGGTAGATTAGATAGATAGATAGATAGATAGATAGATAGATAGTTGATGTTAGAGAGAGAGAGAGAGAGAGAGTTGAT